CACGTCCGCCTAGCGCCCAAGAAACCCTGTAGTCTATCCTTTACACAGCACACATCACAGGGCTCTCGTAGCGCACTATGCTTTGCTCTCCTAACTCTCCGCAGAACACACCAATACAACACCGACAACCTGCTCTTTATCCAAAACTCAGCCTCTTTAGGGGATATCAGGAAAGCCCAAAGCAGACCTACTGTACCCCAGAACACTAATTTGCTCCCAAACATCCTTGCAATCAACAGACTTCCCCGTCGCACAGGTGAAGTATCAACTCAGCCTCTTTAGGGGATATCAGGAAAGCCCAAAGCAGAACTACTGTACCCCTGAACAATAATTTGCTCCCAAACATCCTTGCAATCAACAGACTTCCCCGTCGCACAGGTGAAGTATCCACGATCACAAGGTCTACTGTCCTCGAAACGAAAAGAGACGCGACGCGCCAGACAAGAGACGCTTGACGTCCCATCAGAGACCTTGAACGCCTCACTTCTTCAACCCAAACGTCTCCAAACACGACATGCCATCACACATCATTCTCCTCACACAACAATACCCCGGCTCAAAGGTGACCCCTCACACCAGCCATGATGCGAACTAACCTCCGTTCATCTACCTTCAGCAGCCTCCACACCGCTAGGTCCGCTGAGTGGTCGGTTGCAGCAAAACCCTCCTTCCTTCTTCAAACACAACATGATGCCCCTTGATCTCTTGTTTCCTACGCCTTTACAACGAACTTATTGTGCTTACGTTCGTTCTTGTGCTTATGTTCGTTCTGAAAGAGCTGGATGTAACCCACCTCGTCCTCTCTTCTCACCCAATCTTGTTCCAATAAAGTTGCAAGTTGCGCGTATTGTTGGCGTCGACCCCCTGACACGTACTGGGTTAGTAACAGCTATTTCTCTCTATCGTTTGAAGATTGAATGCTTCATGAAGAATTCCCTTGCAGCGCTTCCAGTAAAAGCGAAAATGCTCAGCTCTGCATGGAAAAAAGGAACCCCACATTGTTGGAGCATCATGGGCCATGATTGTGGTGAGAGGGGAAACAATTGCATTAGTGATTCTTCAGCTTAGATCCAGTGCTCATCATATTCGCGATGGCAATGGAATACTCTTCGCGGGCTGCTATACAGTGCGGCTCCTAAATAGAAGTGGATTGGTGGGCTCAAACATCGGCAGAATCAGGGTCACTTCTTGCTCCTTGCGCCAAGTTTTTTCAATCAGCATTCATGCATGCCAAGTCTGATGCCGACGCCATTGTTGCTCTAAGCAGGCTGCTGCTGCTTCGCCTGACACCCTGTAGCAACTAAACGAACGCAAAGGGTGCAGCCGAGTGTACTTTCTCAATTCATGTTCCTTGCCGAATCTGCAGGAGAGGGTGAGAGCCGTGTTTATGACATTGCTGCTGGTGGTGTCCTTGTACAGCTTGTGAATCATTAGCTGCAACAGAACCGTTTAAGGCAACTTTGTGGCTGTCAGTCCGCTGTAAGTCTGTTGCGCTGCAGCAGCCTCTTTCCTTCCGCTTCCGCCCCAGTCGGCGTAGGGTCCATGGATACTTCCTGCTAGGGGCAGCCAAATGCACGCACGTTGCGATTTCCGATCCGTACAGCCGAAAGCAAAAGACGTGCCCTACACGGCAACCTACAATATACTTCTCGTTTAAGCTCAGCTCAATCGAAGACGTCCACTCAACGGCAGCGTAGGTGCTGTTGTCACAATGAGGGGCCTAACAAACTGACAGAAAATAGACGCATGTAATTACTTGCACACATGCAAACAAAACAGAGATGCATTGATTCAGCATTCAGAAATGCACAAAGCCCATGCTTCTCGGAAGAGGGGTCATACACCAGTCAATCCAGTGTATGCAAGCAAGCCGACAGTGCGTACATGCATTCAACACACCCATTAGCTCATGCAGTTACGGAATGCATACACGTTGCATGAGTGTGCAGCAAAGGGCCAATGATTGCACATATGCATGCATACATGCATAAACCGACTACATACATGTATACAGGCATTGTAGGGTACCACCGCCATGGGCTTTGCTTGCACATTACAACACATAGAATGGTGCTTCACGCCTTAATTTGGCTAAACGCAAAGGCAGCCAGAAATGCATTTATACATTTTAGACCTGACGACACAAATAGATTCAATGCATTCTTGTAACTGAATGCAGCAGGACGACGTGGTGGCCCTCCGGGAGCAGATGGGGAGACGGGCTCCGCTTAGGCTTGCTCCACCCCTGGTGACCGCTTGCTGAGCCGTGCCTTGCGGGATTTTGGGTTGTTTGTCGAAGTGATTAGCACTGCTGCTGTTGGAGCCGCTTTTGCAAATAGTGCTGCTACCGCAGGGTATACTGGAACGGTTGGCCTTCACGAGCCTAAGAACCTTGAGTCTGCAGTCCCCCTGCTTTGCTTCAGCTTGCCGTGGGCTTGTTAGGTGCCATGTCTCGGCAGAGTGGCTTCTCACCAGCAGCAGCAGCAGTGTGCAGGAATATGTGCTCATTCCACAAGCAAAATACTTGAAGAAGTTATTGCAATTAACTACTAATGGCCTGTGTTGTGTGTGCCTTCAGGCGCTAATCTTAAATCTTAAATCTACAGTACAACCCTACTGGACATTAAAATGGAAGTAGACACAACCCCGTTAAACCTTTATACCAAACCAAATATTGCATTTTCTGGTTGAACTTTGATGACAAATTGCGAATGCCTAAAGAAGGCATACCATTGTCGGTCGGCTGGGGAAAGACGACGCCGTTGTAAACGAATTAAACCAAAAGCACAGCAGTGCATAGAGTAAAATACTGAGTGAAATATCAAGATATGTTGGAAGCTAAAAAATAAATATAACCAGAAAATGCTATTATCTTCATCTAAATTTTGGTAGGAACTTCGATAGTCCCAGAAAAGGCGATTCAAACGGATTCAAGCGTGTAGACAGTAATACACTGCATTTAATTTTCCACCACATGCTGGCACATACATACAAGTACATGCGCAGACACACGCATAAAACATATAAATGTATGTGTTTATTACGCTTCTGTACACACAGCTCCGATAGCCATTTTTCTGGCTGCACTTCGTGGTTGGCTTCGTTTATGCTGTTGCGTAGTACAGCTTTTAGTACTTTGCTGGGAATTGTTTATGCCTCTGTGTCGGAGATTTCGGAAGAAGAGGAGGATTTCCTTTCGGCTCCTTCGTAAGAAACTCTCGGGCTCGGTGCCCCCAGTGTAGCCAATTGTCCCCTGCCTTCCTCGCACGACAGCACGGCTGCAAATATATCTCCTGATTTTACCTTCGGAAGTCCAAGCAATGCCGATGCAAAATGTGGATGCGTGACGAGGAGACCGGAGGAGAAGTTTCGGGCCGTGCACATAGCCCGGATTACCACCTCTGCTCGGAGTTGAACAGTTTCTGCTGACTCCTTCGGCAATGGTGAATTTGGTGGGGGGATGTTTCTGGCTTGAAACGGTAACTGTAGCAGCATGCTAGTATCTCTTAACGACTTCGCTCCCATGCTGAGTGGCCAGGGACTCGCGTTGCCAACAATGAACGGACTGCTGCCACTGCCACTGCCACTGCCACTTCCACTGCTGCTGCTGCTGCCACTGCTACTGCTACTGGGTGTTCGTCCCTGTGCAGCACTGCGTCTAAGCATGTCTCTCAGCTGTTCATCTGTATAAGGCAACCACCAGGCATCTTGAGGAGGTACCAAACCGAAGTCCAAAGCGGCGCTTTCCATTCCGCCTTTCCCATGTAGCTCCACAAGTTTTGCTTGCAGGGCGGTTGCCTCGGTTCCTGCACTGGCGGCTGACTTCGACTTTTCTTTGACCAGAGGTTCAAGTGACCATATTACTCTAGTTGTTTTTGACACCTTCTCTTTCGGGCCTTTGCACAACAACCACTTGCCCGAAGCGCCTGTTGCAAGGCTGGCTGTCTGCACGCTGGACGTCTGTGGAGAGCTCACGAAAGCCTCAACGCAAAAGGACGCAACAGGACGCTTTGTCTCCTCCTTTTCACAACTATGTACTTGTTCTATTAAACTGTAAAGCTTTAAATCCATCGTTTTTGCTTGGACTTCTCCTTCCTGTGACAAAGGCAGGTCAGCTCTGGGAGCTTCGGGCTCCCGTTTGCGGCCTGAGTTCGAACAACGAATGCACACCGTTTAGCCATGTTTTTGTTCGTGCACACGTATATATGATGTACATGTGTCTTCATTAGCAAACTCCACCGATAGCCAAGTCCATTCTACGCTAGCATCCATCTAACAGCCCAAAACATTAAATCGAACCTCTACACAAAAGCAAAAATACATGTCCGTATGCCATTATTGTATGCATATAAATCCGTGCATCTATATTCCAATGCACTGTGAGCACTGTCTATGGGTTCGAATGCACTGCAAGGACATGTAATGTGAAACGGAAGTGTAGGACTTAGTATATACATTTGCATGCATATTCAACTCCCTGAACATATTCATCGCATTGTCAAACGTACACACACCATGGCATATAGTATGTATGTGTAAGCCTTGAAATACTACTCAAAGAATATGGGAAATCTCACCGAGACGAAGCAACTTGGCTGGTACTCCAGATCTAACTTTTTGTGCAGAGGCAAGTACAATGATAATTTTGGTTTCCGTTTTGGCCTCGAATCGGTCTCTTACGAACCACTGGCATATAAGAGTAGCCAAGGGTTTCATTTGCTCTGCACGAGTAGGCGCCTGAGGCGAGAAAAGTTGTCGAAGCAGATGAAAAACTCCTGCCTCTGCCGGCGGTGCCGCTGCTCCTGGGACTCCTAAGACTGTTGACTTAACTAGCTGTTCTTCTTCTCCTTGATCGGAGAATGTTTTCTCCTTTGCTTCTTCTGGCTCTTTTGGCTGCTGCTGTGGCTGCTCGGCTGACTCCACGGGCCACTCATAAACACCCGACCGTCTAGTGCTAGAGGATGACCTTGTACGCCTCCGTCGGGAAGGCTGCTCCTCCTCAGATTCTTCCCCTGAAAGCTCTCGTGAATACAGCTCCTCTTCCGAAGAGGCCGCGCTCAACATAGGACGTTGGCGCGATGTTTTGCGTGCATCCGCCGTTTGAGTGGACGGCAATATCCATTGTTTCTCATCTTCCGCAGGCCCAAGCAGGAAGAATGGCAGGCAAAAGAAAACGAAAAATAAAAGGGACCGGGCAGACAGCCGACGGAGGCGGAACGGTGACTCAGGAGCATCGACCGGAACATTGAATGCAGCCATGTTGTCTGCTGGAGACAAAATTAACAAAGAGTGAAAAAAGAACTGGAAGCCAAAGCAATGAGAGGCTCGGCCCTCACTTTTTAAGTTGTGTGCCGAAGACGTTAAGTCTTTTTGCTTGTGCTGTACAGCAGCGCCTAGCCTGAAATGAAAGGTCTAACCGAAAGTCTCAGCTTGGTTTTCGGAAATAAGTTTCAACGGTCATATATACAAAAACACTTAAATAAGATAAGCAAGAAACATACAATAGATTGTTTATATGCTTGCAGGTTTGAATTGGGAAGAATCCTTTCAACAACAGCCAAACAAAAAACAGCCACGCGGCCTGATATGCAGTCAGCTGGACAGCTACAGGACCAAGGACGGCATTTTGCATTGCATTGTAACCGAAGTAAATAGACGTTCAACACGTTTAAACGTATATATATTGTTAAATACAAGTACTAATTTATTTTAAAAAATCTGAAAGTTGTTTGCAGATTATTTTCATGGACTACACTTGCTCGTATGGTGCCTTCAGTGTCACCCGCCGCCGACACGCCTCAGCAGTTCTGGGATCAAAAGTTGGAGACACCGCGTTCTAATGTATTTTTATGTTGGAAACCCTATTAACACGGTTAAGGTATATACGTTACATCATATAAATTAAATCGTTGAACAGACTTAGCTGTAGACATTGCTGCTGGGGCGCCGTGTTTTCCTAAACTTGCTGTGGGTCTTCGTAGTCATTCACGTGCTTGCAGCCTGGCTAGTGAGGGCCAACGATAGTGCGTATAGTGATTGGTCTCGACTATGCAATCAAAGTGAGCCTGCTGTCGTGTGCTTGCATGCGGGCTCCAGGAGTGGTTGCAGCAGACTGCTCACAGTCCCCTCCGCTCTACAGCAGCGCGCCCCCAGCATGCAGCTGCTTTTCCTGATCCCAGGTATCTTCACCCCGTTGCAGTTCGTCACTGTTTCTAGCACAGGATGATAGTTTCCCATCCAAACTTGAACCCTCACTTGAGTGGACGTGCGAGTAAAGCAAGTATACTTATGACCATTACTATGTCTAGTGGTAGACAAAAAGTAAAAGGAAAGCATATGGGAGGACCCAATAGAATAGTAGCATCCTAGTAATAAATACTCAATGCTTTATTAAGAAATACCTAGAAATAGCACGTCCTTTGGCGGAGGTAACTGCCGAAAGACGACAGAAATATCCCCGTCTAAAAACGATAGAGAAGCAAGCTATTCGTCTTCTCATTGGTGGCCGTGCACAGGAGGCATGCAGCTTAGCACACGTCCAGAGAAAATACGTTATTAAGCGGCAGATCTACATCAGCATCATCGGCAGTGGCAACGACACCACAGACAAATGAAGGGACACTTGTTTGATGAGTGCCAGCAAGCCATTCACATTCCCGTTGCCTGTTGACGAATCGAAGCTCCTTGTCAAGTTTCGCCGACAGTTCTTGTCACTGGGGTGGTCATTGCAACCCCGTGCACCTCTACATATGCACAACGAGGCTGCATGCATATCGGCATACTCCCTCGTCCTTGCGAAACAACGCACTCCAGTTAGCCACTTCCAGTTTGGCACTTCCAAGCCACAGAAACCAGCTAAACCCTATTCCCTTCGCTGTCTCTAGTGTCGACGAAAATATGCTCCATGTTGGGGCATAGGAGAAAGAGTAGGTTTCATGGTTACGGTGTATGTAGTATAGTTTTGGGTCGTCGATCCTTGATGGCAGTCTTGCGATGTCCATACACCTAACCCCTACTGCTTACATTTCGAATCATGTGGTACAGAATGATAGGCTCAGTTTAGGAGTACAAAACTGCAATTGCTCAATCTACTGGAGATCTTCAGGCTTTACAGCTGCTGCAACTGCAGCTTCCCTCGCTTGTTGCCTCTGCTGCTCCTGCTGTTTTTGTTGTGACACGCGATCGTATTGAGCCGGCATGCGGAAAGTGTTGGAGGCGACGGTTTGGGTGAATATACGGCCGACAATTGGGTGGTAAACAACTTGCAGCTTCACAGTAATTTCTCTGCCCCTCAGTCCTTTCCCTTTGTCTCGCAGATGATATTTCGCAGGGACATTTACTAGATTGAGGACTGCTGCGCTCTCGTCGGTTATAATCCTGTCAAATACAACCACCTGGTTCGTCGGGTGCTGCGGGCTTTCATACTCAGCAACCACAAACACAAACAGCTGTTTCGCGTTCCACTGAAAGAGACCCCGTAGATCTGCCTTAATGTCCAGAGAAAGCACGGCCTGGTCCCCCTGAAGCAAATGCAGCAACACCAATCAGCAAAGGAACAGGAAAATGCAATAAGCATTCACCCGAGAACCCCTCGAATCAATAGGCACACCACAACAAAGGCAGCTAAAACTACCATTGAGTGTACAAATTAGCACAGATGGTGCCGCATGTTAAAGAGCAAAAATTCAGTTGCATATCTCTGTCAACCCGCAGCCTCTCCACCTAGTCGAGGAAAGAATTGCATGGACGCGCACGAGCATCCAACTTCGGGCTGTAGACGCGGTGTAGGAACCGTTAACTCACGTTCAAGGCATAGTTATAGCCAAAGGCGTATACATCTCGTACGGCAACTGAGCCGGAAATGGGGCCCACTAGAAAGTAGGAAGATGCGATATTCCCGAGGGCTAAAACACCCAAACTGACCATTAGCGAGCAGAAAACCGCATTTGCGCGGTTGAGATAATTCTCCATCTTCTCTTCAGGTTTTATGTCTGCTGGTTTACTCACAATAGAAAACGAAGGGAAAGCGGGCAGACGTGCGGTCGATTTCCGCTACCGGCGGCTGTCCGTGTGTACACCTCAACACTAGTCAGCACAAACAGGACATTCTCCCTCAATGGCTTGAGAAGTGAATCGGGGATGTCCCGTCTCAGAAAGATACATTAAACAAAATGAGGCAACGACCACGATGACCAGACGCGTCGTTCAGCCGGTGAGGTGTGCACACGCTTCATTTCAATACTGTTCACACCGCAGCACGGGCTGACGAGGGTTCCGGCCTTACGGAGAACTGCTCGTCACTTTGCCTAGTCTTTGTAAGTTCTGGGCTTTCCTATTTCAGTTGAAAATTAGTTGCAAGGATTTCTTTTGTCTGAGTTAACTGCCCGGGATGAATGTCAAGCAATAGCGGCCGCCGTCTGCACTGCAGTGCACCCCACCAAGCCCTCGTCCACGGCGCTCTGCGTGGATTTCTTTCTGCAGAAGGCGGAGTATATTCTCGAGTTGCACTTCCCTTTTCTGTTTATGATTACAAATTTAGGAGGAACTACCTCCCTCTTCGCTTATACTTGTGCTGGCTCTCTTCCTGTGGCCATCACATCGTGAACGCCGCCTCTGCATGCGCCATATAAACAGTACCATAAAGCTCATGAACAACTTCTCGGCGTTCTACGATAAATCGGCGTAGTTATTCGGTTCTTATAGGCCTTCTTTATTTGCTTCATCAAGCTTGGAGAGGGAACTCTGCGAGAGCTCGTTTGGCACGGTTCCCTGCTTGCTCGTTTCAGCAGATCCCGCCCACCTTTGCGCTCCTCGAGAAAAGGTCCTTTCCGTGGACTGTTATTATTGTTAATAGTAATTAAATTGCAGGCAGAAGGGCGTATTTGCTGCCCTCTGGTTCATCTGCTGCATTCTCTAGGAGGACTCCCTCTGGCCGGCGTGCCCCTCTTCCCACACCCGCAGGGTTCTTCACGAAAATGTCGCACCAAATGAGCAACAAGAAGCTCCAAAAGATTATGACCCAACCTATTGTAAGACTTAGTTCTCCCTCTACATGCACCATGCCTAGACCGAAGTTGAAGGACGCCGAAATTGCTCGTGGTATAACAGGAGTGTTTGTTCCCTTTGAACCGTTGGGCGGGTAAACGTGGAGGGTTTGACGCTTCCTCTGTTTGCATTTTCCTATGCTGCTTCTCTTCAGAACCTGATCTTCAGGTTTTTCACGAACAAAAGCCGCGTGCAGCTTTGGCTATATGAACAGCCGGATCTGCGTATTGAAGGCCGCATCATGGTATCCATTTATACACTATTCTGTAGTGCTGCACTTTATGTGTGCAGATATGTCTATCAATTACGTGTATAGTATGATTAAAGTAATAATGCGGCTTTTTGTGTATAGGCATGCATACATTGACTAGCAGCATTTATTGAGTTCTTTCACTTGAGTTCAGTACAGCTTCTTTGACACCATTCCTGTGGATCGTGAGCCCTTCAGATTCCGTCTCTGATATTATATCTAGGCGGATTTAATGGACTGTACTTTCATTTCTGTGTTTGATTTTGTTTACTTTTTGCGACCAGGGTTTTGACGAATACATGAATATGGTATTGGACGACGCAGAGGAGATTCAACTGAAGAAGAACACGCGTGTTTTTGTCGGGAGAATTTTGCTTAAAGGAGAAAACATTTCTCTGATTATGAGCACGTATGCATTCACAGACCACTAGCAGATTCCGGTGTAGACACACCAGTGGCTGCCGCAGACGCTGTTTAGATCCATACAATATGCAACAGATTTTAGACACAATGGCTGCTTCCGGAGGCTTGCCCCCGCAGCTGCTGCTGTTGAAAGGTGAGGACTTGTCGGCATGCTACAGGGGATGTGCGAGCGTGGCTGCTTTCTGCAGGGGCAGTACCAACACAACGGAGTAGGAGCAAAGGCAGCACGAGCAGCTGTTTCTCCACCAGGGAAGCTCTTCAGGGGGAAGAAACTGTTCCTAACGTTTTCAGCCAATCCCTTTGCTGAACAAATATCGTCGCTGCGTTTGCAAGCCACTTGGTGACAGTCTGCAGTTCGTTTGCGTGGTGTTGCAGCTGAAGTCGGTTGTATTCGTGTTTTCTACGCGTTTACTGTCTGTGGCCAAGTTATATGTGCAAACCTCTTCACTGTGCATCAGTATATCAGTTTTAATCTCCCTCCTACGATTTACGCAAGGGCTGGCATGCGCCTACCAATTGCACGGATCGTAGAATTGATGAGGGACGATTCCATTTGGCAAGAAACCTCCTGGCCCCCTACCCCCTCTCACTTGTGCAGCATTTGGCTGGCCCTAGAAACTCGCCCCATCGTGTGAGTTTTTGCTGTTTCAGCATTCTCTCAGGTTGATTGGTAAATTTGCTGGAAAGTGCAAAGATTCTGAGAATCTCGTGTCCTGTATGGGGGTTTAATTGGAGCACCATTAGGAAACACACCAACGCGCACGTAGAACAGGAGAGCCTGCCTGATAGTGCTGGTCTGCGGAATAGCGGGAAGTCAGGGGTGCTGCGAAAAGAACTCTAACAGCATCCGCCGCCGTCGGTGACGACGTGTTGCAGTAGATTTAGAACACTAAGTAGAGAGTTAGTCGTTAAAGGACCGCTCTACAGTGCAGCGCACACGTTATGGCTTTGTTGGCAGCGCCTGTTGACACCACGAGAGGTCCGCTTCGTCGCAGTAGAAAATTTCACTTCGCTTCCACCCATGCAGTTACTAAATGCAATTGAACTTGCCCAGCTCCACTGGCATTCTGTCTGCCTCTGCGGCCCCCTATCAGGTTTCATCGCAAGGGATTGGTGTCAAAATGCGTGACGGCCCAACCAAAACGGAAAATTAGCTTGTGGTGCTTCGAAATGAGCCGAGGAAGAACCTTGGGAAGTACTCCGCCAAACGTACGGAAGCACAGGGACTGCTATTAGCTTATTTGCTTGCATCGTATTTGCTGCTTCCTATGTCTGCGTCCGTCCACTATTCACGAATCTCTTAAACGTGTATTATTGCCTATATGGTAAATTCGATCAGTTAATCCTAGTCAGCTAGACATGGATGCAGTGCTCTTGGCACGACGTTGCACCGAACCGATAGCATAGCAACCCATTTGTCAGTGCCAGCACAGCCGTTGGCATAATGGTAAGAGCGGCTGGTAGCTGGGAAAACACGTTGCAAAAAGGCGTCCTACAGGAAGTCCTGCCCAAACAGCCGCCCACCATCCCCTCCACCTTCACAGGCATCACAAATGAATACAGGCAAGAAGATAGAGAAACGAAAAATTTCCTCGATTCCGCCGAAACGGACTGCCATTCACGTAACATGAAACACAAAAAATCTGCAAAACAAAATTCTCAAATCACCAGCGCATAAAACTAAATATATAAAATTCAATATATTCCTCTAACTTCGTCGCTCAGACCCGTCCACGCCGATGGAAGTGGAGCTTTCGCCCGACTTCCCTGATCATCAAAGCCGCCGTACCTGCCGGTCCGGGGCCTCCCTTCAAGTTCGGCAGGACGCCTAACTCGTCATCGCGACTTGTGGTGTTGTCTGTCGATGTAGCGGCGAACGTGCAGATCTCCTATAGAAGTGATCCCGTTCGAGTACAGTCGACGATTAGCCCCACACTTTCCACCCCCCACCCCCTTCTCAGCAGAAACCGCGCATAAGAGTCAGCAGGTAAACTCCGCAATAGGTTGCACTGTCATCATTTTTTTTTTAATTTACCCGTAGTTTTTATGGATATAATATGGAGATAACGGTACAATTTTTAATCACAAAACAAATTTACTTCGGCTGGCAGCTGTTGAAAGGCCCCTACCTCACCACTCTTTACGCTGGGGCGGAGGTCCCCTCATGTAAGCAACAAATATCCAAGCAGAAGACAGGAAAATCGGTTTCATCAGATTAGTCTCTCAGAAGGAACAGTTGCTTTTGATTTGCTATTATATTGGTATATTGCTTTCGTTTATCTTGGGGTATGTGATGAATTTGCATAGGTTGCTGGTTTCTCGGGGCAGGCTCGTCTCTGCTCCAGCGGGAGTCCATCTGTTGACAGCCATAGCTCGCTCCCGGAGAGAGGTTCTTCTCCGCGTGTTAATATTTGGAGCGTCTTCTGCAAAACTAACAGTCGAAGTTGATCGTTAGGTTGCAGCAGATCCCGTGTGACTCCACAATCCCTGGCATGTTTAGCGGTGGGTTCGTCACTTAACTTGTGAATCTGTGGATGCTTCTTCTTTGTTTTTCCGATTAATGTACCAAGCTGATAGTGTTTTTCTTAAGCCACGACTCATTCGCCAGCACCTGTGGCTCTGATACAAGCCTGTCTTTGAAGACACGACCGGGCTGAAACAAGATAAGGTGGCGGTAGTTGAGGAACTGTTGCACTGTTCAGCATCTCCATTAAGTCCTTCCTGTATTAAGGGAGAGTTCTGGGTTATTGGTACTAGTTGGCCTGTGAGCGACTGTCTAACTGGAGGTGGTGCACAAAGTGCAGTCTTCGGAGCGCGCAAGAGTCCAGTGCAGGACTGAAGAGATTGTTTCAACAGATATTTAGTATAAATGTACTATGTGTGTCATAATCTAGGGGCCAAAGTAGGTCTAAGATATAGTTTTTCTACTAGATTTGGCCCCGCAACACGAGTAACGGTCTTAATAGCTATTCCACCGGTTATGTGATGGTGGTTTGTCGGAGGCACGGCACACGTGAATGCCCGCCCAGTGTGTTGACACTCCTCCGCAGGTGAATAGCGTAAGTAGAGGACAGTCTTCCAGCCAGAAGAAACACAGGAGGCGGCCACTCGCAATGCTGGACAACAGCCCGGCGATAGCAGAGGGTACTGTGGCGCCCTTCCCACCAGAGGCAACGAATCCTGACTCATAGGCGCTAGACTCAATGCGTCCATGCTCCTTTATGAAGGTGTGGAGAAGACACTCAGGGTCTAGGGCCGAATGGTTGGGGTGTTGTACGCTCCGTTTGGCCTCGTCTTGGAGCGCGTCGGTTTGGGCGTAAGAGAGTGAAACTACTAACGCTTCCACGGGTAAACTGCCGGTAATATTTTGTGCATTTGTTTGTGGGTCATCTCCCTGTTGACCTCTTCGCCTTTACATTCGAAGTTCTTTTCGTCGAAAGACTTCTTCATATTCTTGTACTGCGGGTCGTAGAAAGGGTCGCTAATGGGCCGGAGAGGATCATACCTTCTTCTCGCCTCAATTGACTGCAAACTGTGCAGGGAACAGCGAAACAAAAGTTACATTCACAGCCATAGGGCGGAGGCACGTTCGTAGGACATTCCAAAGTATTCTGTGGAATGGAGCATTTCCCTACCGACCGCTACAGACACGGGGTTTGGGAAGTATGTATGTTTAATGCTAGGTAACTCCGCCACGCAGCAAAATACAAGTGGTGGTAGTTCACCGAACACTCTCGTAAAGCAAAGCGATCTGATGACGCTCATGGGCCGCCCTCGTTACAAGTTCTGCGTTTCTCTTCATGATTCTTTTGTCACTTGAGTGCATGGTCTCGAGATACTTCAGCCAGGTCTGCTTCGTCCAGCCTGCTGGGTAGTAGTCAAAAGCTCCCCTGCAGACCTGAGAAGAGCATTTGATTGAGCGACCGCAACCTTTAAACACATATAGTCTGAGGGCTAGCAGATGACAGCAAAACGACGCAGCGACTACTTTGCAAGTGAAAGAAGTCCCAAGTTGGCAATCTGACCCAATCTGGACGAACGCCCGGAGGAGGCATGAACTCGAAGGGCTTTTTCCCCGTTATTATTCCGATATTATCAAGGAACTTGAGCAGGAAAGGAGTCAAGAAGGGGCATTCAAAACAGAATTGGTGCGTGCACTGCCAGAAAGCAATCTCGGTGGCTATTGCCTCGATATCCGGCCTCAAAACCGAAGAACTAAGAACATGCACAATTCCGTTGAAGATCGGAATGTCCTGCAGGACAACCGATACCACAAGTGTATCAAATGTTAGAGCACAGCGCACTACGCTGTGTGCCTATGAGGTTTATAAGCACCTGGAAGTCTGCTCACGCAGATGCGATTGTGTTTGCAACGAACTGAGAACTAGCCTGAATGTAGACTTACCCATTCCACAACCTGACGGCCTTCGATGAAAGTAGCCAAATCCCCACAATGGTCCGGGTACTCTTCGTAGGGGTCTTCCTCCTCGTCTTTTTCCCCTCCAGCCGTTGCATCCGAATTCGACCCTTTTCCCTCTGTAGGCTTTTTCCCAGACCCTCCAGCGGCTTCCCTTCGCCCTGAGGATCCAGGTGACGCAGCCTCCCGGAGTGGTGGCCGCTCGCCAAGCCGGCGATAAGACAGAAGGCCTGAACGAGGGCTTGCATCCGGCTCTGGAGTGTCTTGCTCATGTTCAGGAAGGATTCCGTGTATGAATTCGGGGATAGCTGCACACCAACAATGCAATCACACACCGCGCTTTCAACGAGAAAAGCAAGAAAGCAGAGGGGAGCATGTTCGAAACGGAGGCAGCACAATTGATGAACTTACCCGTTTCTTCTGAGTCGACCACGAAATGATCTGGCTGCAGGATCCCCATATTAAGATCATATCCACCCGTAAAATTATTGCCAAGGGACTCTTCCATGTAGTCGCCTTGGCCGTCATACGGGAATGTCCCCGATGCTCCCGCCTCTGTCCCTGGCCTTGCTGCTGTCCCGAGGAAGCCGGAAGAAGGGCAGTTGCCCACTAGGCAAGTAGTCTCATCTTCTCTAGATCCTTCGGCGTCTTGTGTATCAGCTTCAGACCCTCGGAAAACCCTGCCTCTACTGCCGTCACTCTCCGGTCTCGACGTTTGCAAGGAAAAAGCGGTGGTTAGTCCAACGGTGATGTCTGGAGCAGTTGTGCTCACCGGGATTCTTACCGATTGACCTCCGTTAGGAATAATCCCAGGACGTGACTGTGGCTTTCGTGAAGAAAGGGGTCTTTCTCTTTGTCTGGAACTTCCCGTCAATCCCAACCCAGCAAGACTTGGGGGCCTTTTCGGGGAGCTCCCCAACATTGACACCGCTGACGTTTCCTGCGTTGCATCCACCTCGCCAGCTGAGGAATTCGCATTCCTTTGCATGTCTTCTGGGGCCGAAGACATTGGAGGGGCTGATGCTCCTGCAGTTGTGCGGCGCTGTGTCCTGCTAGATGTTGCACCAATTCCTGCATCGATATAGCTGGACACCGTGCGGGCCTTAGTGGTCGCATATGAAGGAGCACCATTTTCTGCAGAAGTAACACTTGCAGCCAGAGAAATATCGCTTCCAGAGGGTCTGCGTGGAGCCCGTGTCTGCGTTGCAACAGAGGATGTCTCAGTAGCCACTGGCGTTTCATTCGGCTGCTCCCTATTTCTCGATGTACGCATATGAGGAGTCTTTGCTGGCTCTGCCTCAACGCCGCCACCTGCAAACCTTAAATGGGGGGGTGGGGTTGTCAACTGCATTGGATACGTAGGTGCGTCATCAGCACCTGCCGTTGAACTTTCTTGAGGCATTATTCTCGTCGTCAAGAGTTTGTCGGGTGTCATTATTGCTGGCTGTGTTCGCCTGTTAGCGCCACCGTCCTCGCCTGCAGCCGGTGTCGCTGTCCTTGATCTTGGGCTCGTGATGACCGTATCCCCACCTGTCGGTGTCGCAGTTGGCCTTGTTAGTGTGTTTGTCATCTGACCATTTTCCACGGAATACTGTGTAGATCTACAGGAACGCAGCAGGTCTTGTCTTTCTGCTTATGGGATTACCGTCAACAGTTGTTGTTGCATTTTTGGTTTGTCTGCTCGTGGCACATGTCGCACCTGTCTGCGTAGTGGTGAAACTAACTCTCTTACCTGCGGAGGCTTCCTCACTTGATTCTGTGGTGGTCGGTCGTGGTCTTCTTGTGACAGAGTTTTCATATGATACATTCGTTGTAGGCTTTGCTCTCTTGGGTGTGACGGAGTCCTCATCTGAAAACATAACTGATGGCATGGTTCTCGGGGCTATGGTACAGCCCTGTACTGGTGAGGTTGTCAATAGTCTTGTTCTTCTGGAGATAAAATATCCATATGCCACACTATGCCTGGGCATTGCCCTACTAGTTGCCGCAGACGCCCTACCTGGAGGAGTTGTCGAAAGCCTTGTTGTCCTGGCTGCGGCATACTCCTCTTCAGGGGAGCTTGCGGTTAGCATTGTTCTTCTTCTGGAAATAGACTCCTGACCTGCCTGAGTGCTGGTAGGCCTTGACCTCCTCTGTGCAACAGTGTTTTCTAGACCTCGTCAACAGCAACCGGAGCAGGAGGACGGAGTGACAGAGCCCTCGTCTGGTGTGTTTGTTGTCGGTCTTGTTCTTCTGCTGGAGGTAGAGTCTTCGTCCGGCTGAGTGCTGGTAGGCCTTGACCTCCTCTGTGCAACAGTGTTTTCATCTGCAGTAGTTGTCGTTGGCCTCGTCCTCCTGTCTGTGACAGAGCCCTGCAGACCACACAAACAACAGCCAGATGTTCTTCTGCTGGAGGTAGAGTCTTCGTCCGGCTGAGTGCTGGTAGGCCTTGACCTCCTCTGTGCAACAGTGTTTTCATCTGCAGTAGTTGTCGTTGGCCTCGTCCTGGACAGACACTGTCTCGGGAGCAGACCACACAAACAACAGCCAGAACAAGAAGACGACCTCCATCTCAGAAGCAGGCCGACTCACGACCATCCGGAACTGGAGGAAACACGTTGTCACAAAAGTAGACCTCGTCAACAGCAACCGGAGCAGGAGGACGGACACTGTCTCGGGAGCAGACCACACAAACAACAACCAGAACAAGAAGACGACCTCCATGAGTCTTCGTCCGGCTGAGTGCTGGTAGGCCTTGACCTCCTTTGTGCAACAGTGTTTTCATCTGGAGCAGTTGTCGTTGGCCTCGTCCTCCTGCCTGTGGGAGAGCCCTCGTCTGGTGTGCTTGTTGTTGGTCTTGTTCTTCTGCTGGAGGTAGAGTCTTCGTCCGGCTGAGTGCTGGTAG